CTAACAGACAGAGAATATTTTGGTGTTGGTTGGGCTTTTCCCTTCGTTTCTGTGGTAGGTTTGGTGCTGTAGCTAAGTTTCTGCTCTTGTTTAAGATATATATCCCACATACTGTCTTTTAGATAGTAAATATTTCTCACTCAGTCTAAAAAGCCAACCAGGATTATCACAACTATAATACAGAGATTTGGAAGATCTATTTTATAAACCACTTACAATAATAAAAAAATATATATATATAAGAATCTATAGTTTAACCAACTGATTATTCCTTAGGTACAGTCCTGAAAAGAATACTTTAAAATACCTTGATATAATTTTAAATGTAATGCAGAAAAGACAATATACTGACAAATTTTAGTATATATTTTATATTAACAAATGCAAACTGACTATTAAATGATAGCTTTAATAGGAAGCACATGGAAGAAGAAATATAAATGGATGATTCTGAATTTATTGTCTTATTCCCTAGATAATGTCATTGTTTCAAGGATGAATTTTATTTTGTTCAAATAAAGTTAGATAGAATAAAGCAAAAAGGCAAATGAAACAGGATGTATTGACTTATAGGTGATAAACAATCTAAAGTGGGTTTGGTTGATTTTTGACTAAACTTTGGTAAGTTGCTGTAATTAGATTTTGTTATTGTTTCTGTTAAGAAAACAGATCAGCTGATATGTTTTAGTATTAAAATGTTTCACCACTTTAAAACTAAAACATTAGGACCTTTGGGATAATTAGGAGAAAAATAACTTAATAACTTAAGTTTGAGGAGATTTAGTTCTACTTCTGCTTTATAACTCCACAAATATAAAAGTACCTGTAGAGGATCCTTTATTGCATTCTCTGTGGTAGCAGAAGTAAAAAGTACTATTGGGGTCACTAGGGCTCCATGGTAGAACCCCGTTCCCCAGTTATTTGCTCCCCATCTCCAATGCTTCCCCTAACTTGCTCTATCACACTACCACACACACATAGGATCTTGGGGTAGAGATCATCACCAGGGTGGGTCCTCACATACTGGTGGTGGCCTACAGTATACTCTAATTTTAATGAACACCCCATAGTCAGCATCATTTATAACATCTTTAAGACATACATATGTAGGGCATCAGTGTAGGAATATTTGCAGCACTGGAGATGGGTCAGGCCAATTGTCTTTGCTTCCAATGCTCATGCCCACCTATGGTTGGTTGGCCTTTGGTTCTCATCCTATGACATTGATGTCTTCTCTGTCTGCTGGGTTTAGGAGAACCCAGTTGCTGACATTGGATGGGGGTCTGGGACGTCGGAGGGTTTGGCCCCATTAACCCCATCCGGGGTTGGCTGTACCGGAGGTGGAATACAACCACCTTGCCCGGATGAAAATTAGCTTGTGGTGTGGGTCTGCTATGCAGCCTACCCTGACCCTGCGCACGGCCTTTGCTGCAGTCAGTTAGGGGAGGCTGGGTATGTCTGGTGCCTGGGCTCGGGTGGCTGGCCGGCCATAATTGGTTGGGTTGCGATTGCCTGGCAGCCATGGGTATGAGAGGACCATATGGATGTCGGGGCGTGGAACGGCTGTGACTGGCTGGGGATGGGGTAGGCTCTTTGGCAGGTTGGCTACCTGCTCTGGTGTCTGTTTAGTGTCTGCCACTGTATGCCACTCCATTGAGTTCTTGTTTATGTCTGTCTGGATGTAAGGATGGGATTGTGTGAATGTGACTGGATGAATGTGAATTGCCTTTGTTTTTTTGTCAGATTGAGTGTCTGTCCTCCTTGTGTGCCCGTGATCTGGGGTGTTCTTAAATATCTTTGGCTCCCTAAATAATTTTTAATAATCTTTCATATACGAATACCAAGCAGAAACTTATGGCAACAGTAATAATGGTGTGCTTGTGAAAGCAAATCTGTTGGGCTATCATCCAGCTCTGCGACATCTTTTTACAGAGCTATTTTGGAAAAACAATTTGAAAAAAAAAAAGAATAAATAAAAATGGAAAAGTATGAAATAAACAGATGCAGTTAAGTACTTTTTTGATAGCCTCATATATTTTTGACTTAAACTTAATGCTGAAGATAAAAAATTTATTTAACCGTAAACTTCTGATAAAACAGAACAATCAAAAACAACAATCACTGTCGGCTTTGTTACAGCTTTGAGGCGTCTCCCTTTATACTTGCTTTTCTTACAGAGCAGATTCTATATAAACCCAAACCTCTTGCTCCACTGATGCAAACACACCATTACATCGTCACACATTTTCTCCTTTGAAATGTACTCTGCAACCTCATTAAAGGCTTATTAATCTTTAAAGAGCCCTTCTTCCCTCGCTGAACCTCCGGACAGAATGAGAAGAGTTTGGTATCTGTCCCCCAGGATGAAGAAAGAGGAATTATAAATTTCAAGAATTATTTAGTCTATCCAATTAGCTAACATTTTAAATAGAAATGTGCCAGAAAAAAAAGTGGGTAAAAAGTGGTAAAAAAAAAAAAACCCAACACGTTGCAGTTTTTTTTTCTTTTTTCTTTAAGGCTTTAGTTGCCTTTATTTTTTTGGTTTTTGAAAGTATGCAGACAGGAAAGTGGGTTAGAGGAGAGGGGAGAGCCATGCACTCTACCTCCACGCCACAGCAGCACCCATTCTTTTTTTTTTTTTTTGATAAGCTCAAAAATACAATAATAACTCAATCCTATATTTGGATCACAGTAGCACTAGCAACGTGACTGAATTCAACAATGTAAGCCTGACAGGACCTTTTGATTTCCCTGCAAAACAGCTGAGAAAACCTCAGCGACAATCCTTCAATTCTTCCCCCATGGCAAACTAATGCAGCGTGCTCCGTGACAGATGTCAGGCAGGAGGACAGACAGAGAAGAAGCAGAAACTTCCTGTGTCCTATTTTAGATTTATTCTTCCAGCGTTCCTCTGAGATGCCCCCATGGAATCAGGCACATACACGGACACACACATCAAATCTGAGGTCATCTGTTATAAGTGATACACCCGTCAGCAGTCCATTTCATACCCCAGGGAGCAAACAATAGCCACGTACAGCTCACTTTAACTGCGCCTCATTTCGCTCAAAGCTACTGATGGAAATACTGTAGCAATGATTTAGTATATCATTACTATTTAGTATTTACCACTGACACTATTTATGAGATGTTGTTTAAGGAAGGAGATGATTAAATAATCTCTAAAAGCTTTGTTTTAT